ATGATGGGCTCAAGTATAGCAGGGATTGTGAGGCTGGTGTGGGATCAGGCAGTGTTTCATTCTGCTGTGCATGGGGTCGCTATGAGTCGGAAACGACTCGACGGCACTTAACAACAACAACATATCCCAGTAGGCTCTTTAACAGAAACTGAAAAGCTAAAATTTCAATGGACATGCAAAGAACTTAGAATTGCCAACATAATCTTGAAAAAGAAGAACAAAATTGGAAGATCTACATTATCTGATTTCAAGCTTTATAATAGAGAGGTTCAGTAATTAAGTCATTGTAGCACTGGCATAAGGAAAGCCAAACAGATCATTGGAAAAGATGAGAAAGTCCAGAAATAGACCCACACTTGAAAGATGAATTGCTTTCCAACAAATTGGCCAAAGCAATGTAAAGGGGAAAACAATGTTTTTAATCAACAAATGATTTTTAAACAGCCAGATATCATAAAGTAAATAAAATCAATTTAAGCTTTCCATATCACACCACATCCTAAAACTAATTCTAAGATGGGTCACAGACATAAACTTAAAAACTAAAACTAGAGTCCAGAGGAAAACAGGAGAGTAAATTCATGACTTCGGGGTAAGCAGAGGTTTCTCAGAACACTGAAAACATTATAGAAGAAAGAAAATAAATAAATTGGAATACCAGACTTCATCAAAATTAAAAACGCTGCTCTTCAAAAGACATCAATGAAAAAAGAACAGGCAAACCACAAGTCCAGGAGAAAATATTTACAATGCATGTATCTAAAATGGAATTGTGTTTAGAATACATAAAGAACTCTTACAATTCAATAACAAAGAGACAAACAATTTTTTAAAATGGATTAAAGATTTTAATACATTCTTCATAAAGGAAAATACAGTAATGATCAAGAATCACATAAAAAAGTGTTCAATATCATTAGTTGTCAGGTAAACGCAAATTAAAGCCACAATGAGATACTGACAACACCAAATGCTAGGGAAGATGTGAAGCAACTAGTACATTCATACATTGCTGGTGAGTGTACAATTGCGTAACCACTCTGTAAAACTGTTTGGCAGCTCTTTATAAAGTTAAACATGTATTACCATATGAATCAGCAATTTTTACGCTGTAAATCAGTAATTATTTACTCAAGAGAAGTGAAAACATATGCCCAAAATGGATACAAAAATGTTCACAGTGGCTTTATTTATTATAGGGTCAAACTAGAAACTACTTGTATAGTAAGGAATTTGGCCTTGCCCAAAGTGAGGTCTGATCTTTGTCCCTGGTTCCTAAGAGGTAACCTCTAAACCCTTGGAATTTCCTGAGTGCCAGAAATATCTCTGTTCATGGTGGTTCCCTCAGAACAAATCTGATAGTTTATGCTAACAAGGGACTCATGGTGGACTCCTCAGCTCAGGTGTCATGACTCCTCATGTTATCAGTTCGACCTCTGGGTATGGGGGAGCTGGGGACTGACTTCAACCACACGGGTAATCAATCACCAATCATGACTATACATACATACATACATACACACATACATTATATATATATATAGATATATGCTGTTGTTAGCCACTGTCTAGTCAACTCTGACTCATGATGACCTTATATATAACAGAATGAAACACTGTACGGTCCTGTGCCATTCCATGTAACAAAACTCCAATAAAAACTCTGAACATTGAAGCTTGGGTAAGCTTCCCCAGTTGGCAATGATCTGTGCCTAGTTTTCATACATAGATGTGGAGAAATTAATATGTCCTGAGGACAAAGAACTCTTCACATTTGGAATCCTCTCAGACTTTGTCTTAAGGTCTCTCTATCTTTGGCAGATTTGTTTTTTACCTGTATCATTTTCTCATAATAAACAGTTAACAATGAGTATAACAGCTTTCAGTGAATTCTTTGAGTGAATTCTTTGAGCCTTCCAGTAGATTACTAAACCTGAGTGTGGTTTTGGGTACCCCCACTCTGAACTTGCAGTTGGTATCAGAAGTGAAGGGAAGTGTAGGGAAGTCTCGGGCACTGTGCCCTCAGACTTTGCAGTTTAGCTAACTCCGGGTACAATTCAAATGTCCATAAATAGGAGAACGAGTAAACAAACTGCATGTATTCATTTAGAAATATACGACTCAGCAATAAGAAGAAATTAACAACTGCTACAAGGATGAATCTCAAAAAACATAAAAGAGAGAAAGAGAGAAAAGCCAATACTAAAGAGTATACCACATGATTCCATTTATGTAAGTTTCAGAACAAGCAAAACTGAACTATGGTGAGAGAAATCAGAAAACTGGTTTTCTCTGGTTGGTTGGTGGGCTGGGGACCAACTGACACAGGAACTTTCTGGAGTGATAGGAATGTTCTATGTCTTGGCAGGGATATGGATCATACAGGTAGATGCATTTGTCAAAATTTATTTAATCATAACACTTAAGTTCTATGCATTTCACTGTATGCAATTATACCTCAATTAAAAAAAAAAGATGCATAGTTAAATAGGTCATATAGCAAACTTCATTAATCCCTGGTGTTACTGACTTTATAGTAAGTAAATGCAAGCTTGAATTTAAAATAAATTTATGCATTTAAAATTTTTATAAAAAATCTTTGAGAGAAAAACCACATTTTTAACTGGTGAATTTTCTTTTTTTTCAGAGTACCAAGGAGCCCTGGTGGAACAGTGTTTAAGTGCCTAGACGCTAACTGAAAAGCAGGCAGTTAGAACAACCCATCAGCGGCTCCACAGAAGAAAGATGTGGCAATCTGCTCCAGTAAAGCTGACAGCCTTGCGAACCCTCTGAAGCAGTTCTATTTGGTCATATAAGGTTGTTATGACTCAGAATCTACTCCATAGCACATAACCACCAACACCACCATCACCACAAATGGGTATGAAGATCTATTTCTCAACTACTTTCACTTTTGCTTTTAAGTGAAAGTTTCCTTATTACTCTACCCTGTGGTCAATATTTAACCATATTTAGAAATGAAATGGAAATATGCAATAGTGCTTAAGGTCATATAGTATTAACTATATGGGGTTAGTGATACAAAGTAGTGTCTAAGAAGAAGGTCATCTCACTGTACACATAGTTAAGGATATTTCTCCTAAAAAAATAACTGCAGTGAAACAGACTTCAGAGACTAACAACAAATGAAAGATACTCTAACAATCTTACCTAATACTGGAACCACAGCATAACATGATGCCAAGAATGCTTCTGTGGGAATGCCACTGTCTTCTAGAAGTTCAATGTCACTAAAGCTAAACAATTTGGTGATAAAGAGGAGGAAAGAATGAAAATACAAAATCAGCACTCTGTGAAATTCAGAGGCAGTGTGGAAACAGCTGCCCTCCTGTAAGGGAAATCATTTAGGCTCGATTTCACAGATGTGCTCAATTATTGTTTTTTCTAATATAAGGTCTAATAAAATCAGTTTCAAAGATAATCCCCTCAAACAAGCTAAAATCTGTTCACAGAGCTATCCTCATGATACAATTCCTTCTCAGTCACTGTTTCAGACAAGGTAAGTAATAAAACAGATATTTGGCACCCCAATTCTATATTCTCTTGGAATATGCTATCACATGACAGGAACACCAGGACTGATTTTCCAGAAGGGAAGCTAGTTTCCAACTGTCAGTGGTTTTAGAGGGTAGAGAATACCTGGTGTTCATGGTACTAAAGAAAGTTGGGATAACTTCATTGTCTTCTTCCCAGTGGGATTCCGAGCTATTGGAGGAGTTTGATTCAGGTTGTGCCAAGATGTCATGATTTCCCAGGTTTCCCTCTCCAACTTCTTTCATTATTTCCCGTTGGACTGCAAAGGAGACAGTATCTGTTACTAACCTATCATAAACTTACTATAAAAATTAATCCATAGTCTTGTTGGAAACATCTAAAACACAGAAAATGAAATAGAAATAAAATCAGTGAAACAATATACACATACATATATGTAAACAAACAAAACTGGGTTTAATGTATACATAGATTTATATTTTGCTTGTTTTCACTGAACAGTGTATCATGAATATTTTTAAATCATTCAATACTCTTCAGATCATGATTTTAATGACTATGGAATATTGCATCATGCCCATGTGGAGGGCATTTAGGTAGTTTACAGAATTGTACTACTATAAATAATGCCATAAGGAACATCCCTGACCACAGATCTTTGACCTTAAATCTGACTTTCCCTGAGGACAAATTTCTAGAAATGATATTATGGGGTCAAATAAATGAACTATTCTGATGGAAATTCTCCATTATTCTGTATTATTCCTTCAATGACTAAGGGAAAAGATGTGTTGATTGTCCATCTCAGTTAAGAAAATAAACCTTCTTTTCCCCAACTCAACTATAAAAACAGGTCTCTTATTTCAGGGGAAATAAAGGTGAAAATTTATAAAAATGTTAAATTTTAAAATACTTTATTAAACATCTATTACACAATTAAAAGCTCCTGGGACTGATTAGAAGTGAGTTTAGTGAGTACCAGTGCCTTAGTGCCAATGTGAATGAGCAAATTCAAAAAGCCAGCATTCTCAATTACAGGCCTATAATCTGAAATGTGGGACTTTAGATTGATGACCATAAAGAAGGCTAGGTGATGAATACTTGATGGTGTCCAGTGAATTTTGACATCCACAGGTCCTATCAGAAATCAGGAGGATGAAAAACTGAATTGTTTTAATTTTGTATTTTTACGGCTGACATTATATTCTAAGGAGAAAGAACTTAGAGATTCAGGCGGGAAGCCAGTGAAGTGCTCATTCCTTCGAAAATGAGTACAAGCAGCTATTACTCACTGTAGCCCATCAGAACTGGGAACACTGACTGGGGAACCTCCTCTTCATTGTGCCTTCTAAATACCACCTCAGATGGGATGACAAAATACTGCTTAGTCAAGTGACCTGATGTTACCAAGACAACATTCTAGTGCTTTTTTAAACCAATTTTATTGTGATTTGGGTGTATATTTTCCATATAGCAATTCATATACATCCTAGTGTATTAGCTTGAGGTTGGTCCCTATCAATTGTTGTGTCACACCATGGATAATGACTCAAACCCCCAATATCCTATTGTTCAAAGGTTTACTTCAGACATCTAACATTTTTGTTTTTACCTGTTATACTGTCATCTATATTTTCTTCACTTGATACACTGCACTCTCTCTCTGCAGATTTCAAACATAAGGGGCTCTTGTTTTTCATTATGATTTCTTCATCATCATTTATTTCCATATTTAAAGATCCATTTTCACAATTGTTCATCTCCACTTGTCTGAAAATTTTTTAAAAGGAAAAAAGCCAAGAAGTGTAATTAATTGGGCATAAATAGATTGACTGTTCAGGGAGATCTTATTCTGAAGATTGGGGGGATGGTTCACAATCTCCAACTTCCTTTAACATCAATTAAAAAGCTGAGTTGTTAAAGCCAGACTTTCTCACTCTCCTGCCTTTCAAGAAAGCAGTCTGCCTAAGACATGGGCGGGTCTGCCTCAAGGCTGCAGTTTAGAAATCAAAGAGCTTAATAACAGCTCTTCCTGAACCTTCTGTTAACCTAATCTTGCTCCCTACTAGCATCAGGAAATAGTCATTGGCAGCTCTTTGGTTTTCAATCAGCTTTCTCCAGGTGACACTTTGAACAATTCTCTCACTTTCCTCAACTTCTCCCTGGGAGGTGTTTTTCTGTCTCAACTCACAAAAACATTGGGACTCTTCCATGTGTTTGACTAACAGTTAATTATCTAGAAGCTACATGTTGTGGTCAGGGGAGAGTATTCTCTGCAAAGTATCTGACTGAGGTAGGGGGAAATCCATCATGTAGCCAGAAGGACCAGCTGCTCTTCAGGATAATTGAAAAGGCTATTTGATAGACAAGAGGAACAGCTCATTCTATTTGCTAAAGGAAAAATCACAACATCTTATTATAGGTGATTATATCCAGGCAGATTAGAATATTTTCTCATAACAAAAATAAGGGGCCAAACTATATGTTGACTCCAGAGGAAATGTTTGTTGTTTTCTAAGGAAATACCATAGTTGAACCGAGCAATTGAATATTTAGGATGATATCCAAGGAATATCTCAAAAGAAAAGAATCTATAAAGATGTTCCTAAAAGAAATACTGAGGAGAAAACTAGAAACAACCAAATAGGGAATAATCTTTACAACAAAGAATAAACTAAGCTAAAATACTATAAAAAGGAGATGAAACATTAAAAAATATTTGAGATGACAAACATATGGACTATGTCAATAGATGAAAATGTTTATATGAATAACTGAATAAATTACCCAAAATAAAATGAATACTATAAATGTACACTTTATTTCGAATCCAACGTATATCTAGATAAATAGAAAAAGTTTAGAATTTTATACTCTTTAAATTCTTTTTTTAACCTGAAAAATACCTTAGATCCCTTTTTTTAAATAAACAAAACAGCATTGCCTTTTCTGGATAAAAATATGTTTAAATCAATGGTCAACTCCTCCCCAAGAGATGTTCCAATTTTCAATATACTCCAAAAACCAAACTCGCTGCTGTGGAGTTGATGTTGATACACAGCAACCCTACAGGACAGAGTAAAACTGCCCTAAGGCTATAAATATTTACAGGAACAGACTGCCACAATTTTCTCCTGTGGAACAGCTGGTGGGTTCAAACTGTTGAGCTTCTGGTTAGTAGCCAGCACTTAACCACTGTGCCAGGGCTCTTAAAGTCACTAAGTGTGCTGAGATCCCTACTCTAGGGAAAATGCAAACATTCTCTCTATTCATCAGTACTGAGTGAAGGGTCTTCTTTGATTCAAACTGACCCAAAAGAGAAAAGTCAGATACCTTTTCCTCCTACTATGTCTCAAATCATGAGAAAAACCACCATACAATCAAAATAGTCTTATTTTTTCTTAAAAAAAAAAAAAAAAACAAGGAGTAATAATATCCTGATTTATTCTTAGAAATAAGAATAAACAAAAAAAGTTACTGTACCTTTCCAATGAATTATGCATTGGTACAACAGGATGTTTCATCTTTAAAAGAAGCAAAGAAATGAAAGTTTACATGCTGAATTTCCACCATAGCATATTTAGAATTTTATCACATGACAAGCGGTAAATATGACTATAACTACACTATCTCAGTCAACGGGGACAGTTCTAGATACTCCCAGAATAAAGGAGTCATTGATCCCAACTAGCTCTCTATTTATTTCAAATAAGGGTAACCAAATTTCTAAAGGAAGGGATGTTGGTCTTTCTGTTATTATTATTATTATTGTGGCAAGATACATATAAAGCAAAACATTCACCAATTTGACAATTTCTGGGTTATTCTTTTTCTTCTTTTTAGCTTCCTCCCCACCCTTACCTCTGCCCCCTTCTATAACCATAGATATAACTATTCATGTTGGGCTTCATGAGTAGCCAGGGTAGCAGGAGAAGCAACTAGAAATCTGATTCAGTATTAGGTGTCAGGGTACATGTGCTAATGAGGATGTGTGCAAAAAGAAATATGGTGGGGCTTTATTTCAGCAGGAAAAAAACTAATTCTCCTCCAAAGCTCCAATCCCAACCTCTTTAATATCCTTCCTCCCCCTCTTTCCTTTTCCATCTCACTCAATTAAAACATTTCTACATGTACAATCCAGTGATATTGATTCTGTTCATCATGTTGGGTAGTCTTTTGGTGACTGGTTTTGTGATTTCAGTTATGGTCATTAAATATTAATAAACAGCAAATGATGATGGCCCTGTTTTGTATTAAACACTGGAAATACCAGTATTTTGGGTTCCTGCCCTTAAGATAATTATAATACAGAAGTAGTCTAACACAGGAGTATGTATAGTAAGAGCTCCTAGCACAACCTAAAGATTCAGGGACCAGAACCAAACTCACTGCCATCGAGTCAATTCTGACTCACAGCGACCCTCACTGGTTTCTGAGGGGGTAAATCTTTACGGAAGTAAATTGTCCCATCTTCTGTGGAGCAGTTGGTGGGTTTGCATCATCAACTTTCTGGTTAGCAGTCAAATGCCTTAGGCACTGTGCCACCAGAGCTCCTTAAAGATTCATGGAAGTGCAGACTGAATCTTGAAGGATGAATAAGAGCTGACCAAGTAAAGACAGGTGAGAAGGGCACTCTTGGCACTGGGTAAAAGGTAAAAGGTGTGGGGGGAACTAGAAGCAGTTAATACTGCTAATCATGGTCTAGCCAGGTAATGACAAGGAAAGAGGTTGCTGATGATGGGAGGGGCTAAGAAGCTTTGACTTTAACTTGCAGGCAATGGGGAAGCCAATAAAAGGTTAAGGTAATGACCTCCAATTTAAAAGGTATTGATAGAAATACTCTCTGTTGACTGACAGTCAGGCTCCAGGCAAATAGTTGGAAGGCTACCATAAGTCTAGGCAAGACTCAACTGGAACAAAGAGGTTAGAAAAAAGATGCTATGTAAGAGACAAGTTCAAGTGGTAAAACTGACTGGATCTGGGGCATAAGTAACTCAAGTTTCTGTCTTGAGTGACTGAAGGCAGATCTTAAAGTGGACATAGCAAAGTGCACTAAAAAATGTCTATAAATCACCAAAAGGTGATGGAAACCACAGCTCAGTATAATGACTTTCTTTTCAACCTTTCATTATGTCCTGTTACAGTCAAGCTGAGCAGGACTTTACCTTGCTGGACTTGAGCATGGCCAGCTGTGGCGACCCTGGGGGAGTGTGATAGAGCAGCTCCGAGGTGAAGGCTGCATTTGCGATCTGCATGCATTCTTCCAGGGTCTTCAGAAAAGTATTGCAGGTTGATTTCAGCAGAGTTCCTACATTAATTCCCTCCTACGAAACAACCAGAGTGGAAGACTCCTTTACCTTGCCAAAAAAGAAAAAGCCCAATTGTGGAATGTTCTAGAGGTTTTTAGCCACAAAACAGTAACGATTTATCCACCCATTCTGCTGGATAAATATCTATATTAGTTAGTTGTGAGTAGGAGGGGGGAGACTAAATGAGTAGAATGTATCTCTATCAACCTCACACAAGCCTTGCCCTCAATCTGATCCTACCCACTCACCCACTGCTCCAAGCGGCGGTGATTTCTTTCAACTCAACAGTATTATGTGCCTGCATTTATACCAAATGTGGGGCTCAGAGCCCCCACTGAGCTGCAGTGTACAAGGGGTGACACACATAAAATGCACCAATGGAAAAATGTCTCCAACTACATGGTAATGAGAAACCACAAATCATACATCATTTGCTTTCACAATGGGTTTTTGGCTCTCAACACAGATGAATCCACTAGTGGTTTCAGCAACTGGGACTCGGAACCATATTGGAACACTTCATCATTTTTTTCCCTCCTAATTATTTTGTTTGACTGCCAACCAGAAGGTTGGCGGTTCAAACACACCATCCACTCCTGGGGAGGAAGGTTGTGCAATATACTTCTGTAGTGATACTGCCTCGGGAACCCAAGGAGGGGTCACTGTGAGTCAGGTCTGACTCGACAGCACATAACAACAATAACAATTGTTTTGTTTGTTCAAGGTGTGTTTCCTCTGGATATTGATACTGATAATTGTTCAGGAAACTGAGCCACACCCCAAATAGTGAGTGCAGAGACCATATCTTAGTGGCCTCTATGTTTTCTTCAATTCTGTATTTCTAACAAGCTACCAGGTGATGTTGGTTGTCATAAACTAATTTTCAGTAGCAAGTTCCCAGGACACTTACTGCTGGAACTTTCTTCCTTGAATTAAAAATTGCTGTGCTCACATTTTCCCTTCTCTCTAGAACAATGCTTCTCAATTTCAGCACCACTGACATAGTAGGCTGGCTATTTTTGGGGATATGTCTGTGTGCTGGGGAGAAGGTTCTCTTGTGCACTGTAGGATGTTCAGCAGCACCCCTGGCCTCTACTTACTAGATGTCAATAGCATTCCCTGTCATGACAACCAAAAATGTTTACAAAGAAGGCCAAATGTCCCCTAGGGGGCAAAATTGGCCTGGTTTGAGAAACACTAGATCATAAACTCCCTATGAGCAGAACTGAAATGATATCTTATCTCCCCCACCCCCATTACAGGGTGTAGTATGCAACAGGCAGCTGTTGAGTGAATCCAAAACCAAACTTACTGCCATTGAGCTGATTTCAACTCACAGTTAGCCTATGATGGACAGAGAATGCTCCATAGGGTTTCCAAGACTATAAATCTTTACAGAAACAGACTGCCTCATTTTTCTTCTATGGAATGTCTAATGGGTTCGAACTGCTGAACTTTTGGTTAGTCGTTGTTGTTGTTGTTGTATGCCGTCGAGTCGGCCCCAACTCATAGCGACCCCTCCTTGGGTTTCCGAGGCAGTATCACTACGGAAGTAGGATTGCCCAACCTTAGTCAGATGCTTTAAGCACTGCACTGCCAGAACTCCTTGTTGAGTGAATAGAAGAGCCCAAAACGAAGTGAATAGAAGTAAGTTAAATCACCTTTATCAGAAAAATTCAAAGCACATATCCTACTAGTAGCATAACATACTTTTACCTAAGAAGAGTAATTATAAAACCATTCATTACAATCTGCAGTTCTTCATTTTATAGGCACTGTTTGTCAGATTATAATTTTTGAGAGCAGACACAAGACCTTCTCTGGTTAACATGATCCATTCAATATGATGCTTAATACCAGATAGATCCTTTAATACACATTTGTAGGATAAGTGAATTATAACTTTATTAGTAAATGTTAAAAATTACAATCCTTGCTGATGGTAAAGCTGTGTCTTCATCTTTGAAAGTACTAATCTATTCCGGTACCTAACAATGACAATGGTGAAATGAAATCCTGTTAGTCTCATCAAAGGTGACAGACACATTATTCAAAGATGCTATGTTGGCATGTTAGTAGTCACACCAACAGAAATGGCTCTGCAAAACAAATAATGTTGTACTAAAGAAAGTGAGGCAAAAGGGGGGGAGTAGTTATTTTAATAAGTTGGCACTAAAGTTAAAAGTTTCAAATATTATCACTTAATTAACCCCAAGTTCATAGAAGGAAGGAAGGGAGGGAGGTGAGGGAGGAAGATTGCTTTCACATGTGGAAATGTACCCACTACTTCTCTTTTTGAATTTTTTTACTTTTTCTCTGAAAAATGGTAAATTCCAAGATAGGCATTATGTGAGAGTTAAGTGTCACCTTTATACTGATCTGGTGCTATTTTTCATGTGGCTAAGACAATAATATTTTACCTCAGAATTGGACACACCGGTTGTGGTCACTTCTTTTGTTTTATCTACTTGCTGAACAAGGAGATCACAGTAGAGTCTTAGTTCCGACATTTTGGTTTTCAAATTTTCAGTGTTTTCAGCAAATTCTAGGTAACAAAATGATGATAATGAAGTTTCTCCAATGAATAAATTATTCGCTAGTTAATATACTACAGATAGAATATACAGCCCATGTCCAAAGTCAGATTTTTATAGTAGGGGTGACAGATGTGATACTGGTGATGGTACGGGTGCAAGAAAAAAAATTTTTCCAGTCTTTCGAAGTACTGTACATTATTTCATGAACCAACATATGGAATAACCACCAGTTCAAGAAGGAGACAACATGCCATCTGACCCCCTCATGTGAAGGATTCATAGAACTCAAAGCAAAGCCAAGGGTTCAGAGTTCTGGTTTCCAGTTCTGCCACAAAGTTTTTCCTGTCTGTAAAATGGGGTCATGGGTATTTATCTGCTAACACACTGCTCTGCTCATATTTCAGTAACAGCATTCTATAACATCCAATTACCACTAATAACATACATATTTTACCCAAGGGTTAGCTCAGCATGCTGCCTGTCAAGGCTAATGGTACCCTCCTGTACCTGCTGCTCCCTCATTAGCAAGATATGCCACCCACTCTGGTGCTGAGGCCTCACTACAATTATTACCATCAGTTTTCTACTCCATGGAAAAATTGCACCTTAGTACCTGCTCTAAGTCAAAACCAACAGAGTCTAGAACTTATTCCTGGTTTAGCATTAAAAAACAAGCAAGGAGGAAGTGATCTTACTTTGTCTACTTGAAGAGTTAGCATACGCAACACACCTGTCATACGACAGAAACACTTTTTCCTAGAGCTCGCTCCCCACTGTAATTTCTTCAGGTATACCTATGGGGCTGGGAGGCTGATTGGGACCCAGGAAGTAGCCCTGGCATTCTTGCCCCAGTCTAAGCCAAAAGCTGTGCTATGGTTCCCAGTAGGCCCAATGATGTTGGGTTAATGAGCATTAAACAGCAGCAATCTGATTATTAAGTATCTATCCCACCCCAGGAAAAAGGAAAGACAGGCAGGATGCTGCCACAGAAAACACTCAGATCAAAGGCTTCTCTGGAGCAGCTACTCTTTACTAAGGGTCACTTTGGTGCCAGACTAGGTGCTAGACAGTCTGCACATCACCACATTCCTCATGGCAATCTTTCTATGTAAAACCCATTGCTGTCAAGTCAGATCCGACTCATAGCGACCCCTCCTTGGGTTTCCAAGGCAATAACACTATGGAAGTAGACTGCCCAATCTTCCTTCTGAGGAATACTATTAAACTCCTTTTAAAAGATGAGAAAAATGAGGCTCACAAAGCTTGTCTATGTCAAAGTCACACAGCTACCATGATGTAAACACAACTGTCTGGCTCCAAAGCCTGCATTCTCTACACCATGATATGCTAACGAATAATAATTAGAAACAGGTCCTACTTTAACCCTTCATGATCCCTGAGACATATATCATCCACCAACATTTTCACTCTCAGGGTTCTTGGGGAAGCTGCTATCCCAGTTGTAGTATGTGCTAACTTGGTAGGGACCTGCATAGCTGCAAGAAACTGAATAAATGGGCTTCATCCCACCAACTCTACCACCAGAATCCACTTGAGACATGTGTGTCCCACATAATTATATCAAAATCTCTATTACCTCAAAAAATTTTTCCCCTTGATTCTAGTATGCCTTCCATTGCTGAAAACATACGGTACCAACAAAAAAACTCAAAGCAGAAAATAATTTGGTCACAAAAGGATTAAATTCCACTGAGGTATATAACACTTGTATGAAACAAAAAGCTGGCTAGGTGATCAGAGGCAAGATAAGCAAATTAGGAAATCCAGAGATGGGTGGTTCCCAGTGGTCTCAGACCAGAAAACAATCAACACTTGCCTTTCTCCTTCTGGGTCCTACTGTCAGTCAGGCAGGCCTTGGCTGACCCCAGGGCCACCAGCCACCGCTGTCTCTCAGCCACACTTCTGGCCTTCAGGTAGAAATACTGTTCTCCGGGGATAATCAGGTCCATACGTGTGTTATCTACGGAATGAACTGGGAGCAAGGCAAGGGGAGGTGAGAGTCAAGAAGAGCCTTATCTAGAGTAATCTCCAGCCCACTCAACTTCCTGCTCTCAACTGGTGTCTGTTACTTAAGGCTTCTTTCAAGGAAAGATGCCAACCCTGACAACTTCTCCTGGTTTACACAAAGCTCTGTTTATTCATCTCTTATTAGATGCCTCCTGTGATCTACAGGAAAAACCTCACAGTTGGCTCCAAAGCATCACTAAGTTGTTGGTTTAAAAAAGAATCACCCAGTTTTTCATGATACTTTATCAAAACAGAGAAGCAATCTCTTTTGGCTGGTGTGTATTTAAAGTACACTGGTCGAAAGCCAAAGAGGCTCGTATGGCAACAAGGAAGGGACCATTATTTATTCTTTACGATTACCAGAAAGCAATCAAGAGTGCAGTATTTATCCTTTTCCACTTCTTGACAAAAACCAAAACAAACTCGCTGCCGTTGAGTCAAATCTGACTTATAGTGACCCCTGCTGGGTTTCCTAGGCTGTAAATCTTCATGGAAATAGATTGCCCCACCTTCTTTCTGCAGAGCAGCTGGTGGGTTTAAACTGCTGACCTGGTTAGCAGCCAAGTGCCTTATGCACTATGCTACCAGAGCTCCTTCTTCCTTGGCAAGTCAACCAAAAATGTGAGCATTCTCCACAGTTCTTCAAGAGAAGAAAAAGCAAACTACACTTTCTCCTATACCCACCCACCCCCCAAATTCCCTAGATCTAACCTCTCACTTCTGAGTTGCACATTTTCTCAGGATGTCTCAAGATTCCCAAAACCAAGAAGTAAAGACTATTTGTAGGTTTTTTAGGCTTTTGCTTGTTTTCTGCATGTGGTGGTGGTGGGTATGTTGATTAAACACAGAAGTTTAAACACTGAAGTAAAAAGACTTAAATAAGTTTTGTAAATAGACCCTGGCCCCAGGTGAGCAGCTGACTAAAAAATGAGCAACAGATGAATGGTAAAGCACATTGCACACATTTATTCTGACCACCTCTTAACCAACCTCATAAAAATTGGCTACAGCTTTAGGTTTTATTTGCAAGGTTCTATTTCAGAATATGCACTGTGCATTTTGATCTGTTATATTAGGAGCTCTGGTAGCATAGTGCCTAAGGCACTTGACTGCTAACCAGAAGGCTGGCGGTTCAAACCCACCAGGCCACTCCTCGGAAGGAAGGTTGCGCATTCCTACTTCCGTAGTGATACTGCCTTGGAAACCCAAGGAGGGGTCGCTATGAGTTGGGGCCGACTTGATGGCAAATAACAACAACGTATTAGAACAGCACAGAATGGCATGTACAGGCTAGTGGGTTCCCCCTCCCCCCCAGTTTGTTAAGGAGACAGAAAGAAAAGTAAACCCTGAAAGTCTGTTTCTCACCTTGAATTTCACAGACTGCCATTTGGATGCTCCCTTTGCAGCCCTTCCAGGCATCTTCAGGAGAATCATAATAGGATAATATTCCCCCACAGAGAAGGAACCATCGAGGCTGCCAACCTGAAAACAGAAGCAAGAGCACTGTCTCAGTTACTGCATATGCGTAAGGTACCTCCCAGGACGTGGGAATAGGACCTAACCAAGATTATGAGTCCCAGTTTCTAAGGAGCTTACATTGCAAGGGAAATTCAACAAGACAGAAGCAGGTTACAAAAGACCTTGTATGTCTGTTTGCATTTTTGTAAAGTTAAAAATCACCATATTTTTTACACAATACACAGAAAATGGCATATTTTTTAGTTACACAATACAAAAAAAAAAAAGTCTGGAAGGATGAGCAAGTATAGTGATGAATCTCTAGGTAGTGGATTATGCTGCTGTTGGTTGCGTTGAGTTGACTCCGACTCTTGGCAGTCTTATGTATAACAGAATAAGGTGTATGTGATTTTTAGTTTTCCTAATACAGTACTTCCATAGTGATACTGCCTCGGAAACCCAAGGAGGGGTCGCTATGAGTCGGGTCCGACTCGACAGCACATAACAACAACAACAATACAGTACTAGTGAAACATGATTTTAAAATTTTTCTTAAATGAGTATTGTCTTCTGAATAGATTGTTACCACACACCCGCCTTCCCTAGCTCTATTAAAAAAAGTTATCTAAAACTTAGAAATGAGGCAAAAAAAATTACAATGCCCTTCCAACACTATACTAGGGTGCTTACTTAATAAGCATAGGAAAAGGTAACTTTCTGACTTACTAGGTATTGATCCACTGTATGGTGTAATCTCAAAACATTTAAGGACTTAACTACTTTTACTCCAATATCTGAAATTTTCATGGGACAAACTGTACACAGTAGAGGTCTACATCTTATTCAGTCCTTTTGTACATCCTACATTCTTCAAACTTATTTGTGTATTCCTGCTTTTGCATCTTTGCTCACACCGGATCTGCCTAAAATATCATCTCTGATTATCTTTGCATTTCTAAATACTACTATTTCCTCCATGAAGCCTTATCAAGTCTCCTGAGGTAGGTGTAGTTTTCTCCTTTTCTCTGAAATGCCATAATCCTTTATGTATATATTTCTCTCACAGGACTCTGCTGTGACTGAGGGAGCAAGAGAGAGGGCCAGTGGTGGCTTTGACTAAGCCCCAGGGCCAGGGTCAGATTAAGGCATGTAAGGACCTGAAACACTGATAATGTGCTTACTCATCCTTCGAATGGGGTATGTGAGTTATATATATATAGACACAAGTATATATATACAGTTGACCCTTGAACACCACGGGTTTGAACTGCATGGGTCCTTTTATACACAGATTGTTTTTAAGATATGGATCTTGGAGAAATTCAAGAGCTCAAAGATACTGCACTATAGGATTTAACAGAAGACAATTTGATGGAGATGAATGCTCTGAATCAGTGACAATGAGGAGCAAGACAACATAGAAGAAGCAGTGCCAGAAAACAGATTGACACTGGACAATCTGGTGGAAGGGTTCCAATTATTCAAGACTGCTCTTGACTTCTTTTATGACATTGATCCTTCTATGATATGGTCACCGAAACTAAAGCAAACAGTAGGAGGATTGATACCACATAGAAACATTTGTAGAGAAACGAGAAAGCAAAAGGCAGAAATTACAATGCATTTCCATAAAGTTACACCAAGTGTGCCTGCCTCTCCATCTCCTCTTCAACTTCCTCCATTTCCACCACCTCCAAGACAAGATGACCAACCTCTCCTCCTCCACTTCCTCCTTAGCCTACCCAACGTGAAGACAACAAGGATCAAGACCTTATTATGCTCTACTTCCGTAGTGATACTGCCTCGGAAACCCAAGGAGGGGTTGCTACAAGTCGGGTCTGACTCGATGGCACATAACAACAACAACATACTTAATAGTAAACAATCATCATGCCACACATGTAGTAAACTTACTTGTTGTGTATGTGTATGAGTATCTCTGTGTGAGAATCTAAGTGTATGGCAAGAACTGTGTTAACCAACTATTTATTATCGGTAAGGCTTCCAGTCAACAGTAGGCTGTCAGTACTTAAGGTTTTGGGGAGTCAAAAGTTATACGTGGATTTTTGACTGCATCTGTTCAAGGATCAACTGTACGTGTGTTTGTGTCTTAGCTATCCATGGTTCAACTTCTTTTTAAATATGACTTTAATATTAGCTATTGAATCCAAAAGAGGTGTACGCCGATTCAGTGGAAGGAGAGAAGTCGATTATAAAACTTTCAGTGGCTGTGGGGTACTAAGATTTTTACTATATACCACATTTCTACAAAAAGAATATTCCACATATTCTACAACAAAGAAAATGAGTCCGTCAACTCAGTTGTTTCAACAACCAGTGTGAACTTTTGTTGCTCTCTCACAAAGAAAAATAGACTTTTACCAGTTTTGCTTTAAATGGCTCATACTTTAATTTGGATGCTTGTTTTGTAATAGATGATAAAATTATAAATGAACAAATGAAAAGATACCGTAAAATAATATTTAATGATCAGGAAACAAATATTACAACAAATTACTACATATTATTTTTAGATAAATCTTTCATTTCTGACATGTTGTAATTTAAAACATTTTTTTCTATTCTCTGTTCTTACAAATCCATCAATGATTTCATCCCAATTAAGCTACTGAACAACACCTACTTCCACATATAATAAGGATAATGAATCAAGTCTTTCTTGAAACACTGCTATACACTTAGGGCTTCTGAATCTCTGTAGGGATGAAAATTATTGTCCTAATGTACAGCTGTGATCATTAAAGTTAGGAATATACATAAAGCAATTTCAACATTGGGAAATATGCATTGTATTTTATCTTTTATTATGGAACCATACCTGCCTACCTGAGTAAAATTTGTCCTTCCTTCCAGAATGTGTAAACTTAATTTTAACGTAAGAATGAAATTTTCCACACTTCTCTGTAAAGGTCTGTATTTATGCTGTTGGGATAAACTTGCATTATTTCTTGGATGCCTTCATGCATTCTTCATGAGGTACATCCACCATGTTTAAGAAGGAAAATCTATTTAAAAGAACTTCATATACTTTCATCCTTCTTTCCATGCAGATTCAAGAGTGCCAATGATGGTGTAGTATGTGGTTATATGAAATTATCTCTGGCATGCAATAGTTCTGGAGCACTTCCATCATTTACTTCTTTCTTGTGTCTTAGCTATCCATATACTTCTTTCTAATGCTTCTTTGATAGTAAACTGCTTGATAATAAGAATCTGGCAGTATTTGTTGTGTTTTCAAAACCTTTTCTTAAATCAAGTAAATACCCTGTTAATGAGTGGTAGAGATCTATGTATGTATTTAAATTTACTTCTGAATCTTGAAGAGCCTGACTCATTTGATGAAAATGCTACAATATATTATTTCACATATTCAACATAACTACAGTCTAGTGTTTTGCATTTTGTTGGTGATGTTGTCTACTTCTCTTTTGGTATTTCCTTTTTGTGTCTGGTCTTCAGAAATATTTTCTAAGGTATACAGAATCTGAATGTACAATTCCAAGACTGCACTCATTCCTACAGTATGTGCTTCCCAATGTGATTTAGAAAAGATATTTTAATAATCATTGCCTAAATGTGTGTTAAGAACTGCCCATTGGATGAAACAAGATCTGTACCTCACAGCACACACAAAAACGAACTCCAGATGGATCAAAGACTTAAATGTGAAACCTAGAACTATACAGTT